ACATGAGCTTAAATATCATACAAGAAACCCAGAGCAAAAATAAAGAGCAAAATAACAGATAGGTAAGAGGAAGTAGGGAGACAGGTCTTTCTTGGAGGGATAAGATGGAGGGAGGGAGGGGAGGGAGGGGATGGGAAAGGAAGTGAGAGTGATGTGTACATGTGCAGTCCCACAGGGGGTGCAGATACTGCACTGCAAATGTGCTAATAAAATGCAGTGTAAAAAAAGAGCTGTGAAGATGGGCAGAGCACACATTGAGCACCCGTCAGGTATCAGCCAGTGAACCGAAGGAAGGAATGGCCTGAAGAGCAGGTGTTGGCCAGGGCTGCCTCTTCCTCCTGACAGGGTGCGTTCAGCAAGGTGACCCCGTGGATGGACGGATACACAGCGACACTCTTTATACTGACGAAACAGCTTCAGTCACAAAAGTCCCAAAGAGGAAAAACCTACTTGAGAAAATCATTTGTGGAAGAAGTTGGCTTCACTTGTGCCTTCTCTGTGTGGAAGCTGAACATCTTCCAAGCAGGAGCGGCTGCGGTGGGGAGTCACGTCCCACCCTCAGAGCTCTGCCTCTTGCACTCCCTGCACCCAGCTGTCTTTTCTTGACTTGACCTTTCCCCTTCTGATAAACTCATACTTTGGTTTCTTCTGCTGGAGACCCTTCTCTACCCTGTCAGCCCCCAGGTTAGTGAAACTAGACCCTAAAACCGTCTTCTACAGTTTTGCAGTGACTGTCATATTTGTGATTCTTGTACCTTTAATATCTGTGTGTGTGTGTGTGTGTGTGTGTGTGTGTGTGTGTGAGAGAGAGAGAGAGAGAGAGAGAGAGAGAGACAGAGAGAGAGAGATTGGGGATTGTTGAATTCAGGGCCTTCGCTCTGAAACAAGGTCTCATGGAGTTGCCCAGGCTGGGCTTGCAGTTCCAGTCCTCCTGCCTCAGCTTCCCAACGTGCTGGGGTTACGAGTTTGTCCCAGCGTGCCCAGCCCCTTGAATATATTTAGTTCAAAAATAAAGATATTAAGTTAAAAGAACCCAGAGTAGTTGAAGAAACAGCTTACAAAAAAAAAAAAAAAGAAACTATTTGGAAGCTAAACGTAAAGTAGATTCATCCCTAAAGTTATTTTTTTCATCTAAGATAGCAGAAGAAAAGAAAGGTCTAATTTTTCCTAGTATCTCTCCAAATCACTCTTAGGACAGTTCTTTTCAACATTTGTCACACAGAGCTGACCAGAAGTAGAAAAGGAAATGATAAAACATCTCCCTCGGAGCCTGCTTCCGGCGCCTCAGACTGCCTTTGGAGCCAAGTCACAAACGTCAGCTCAGCGGCATCTCCACCTCGCTGAAGAAGCGCCACACGGGGCGGGGCCACGCTGGCCGGGGCTCCCTTGGGCCAGAGACTGGGGCCAGGCCCAGGCAGCCAGCACCCCGGGCCTGCCCAGGGAGCTCAGACTCGGAGTCTAGGGAGCAGTTCTGCCCGCGCTGCCACCCGCCAGCCCAAGCACCGCCTCTCTTCCTGGCCACATTTCCTCGGAATGTGTAGAAACAAGAGTGGAAGTTACTGAAGAAGCAGTTCCCCAAGGTGGCACCTCGTGGCGACAGTGCGGCCGGGCCTGCAGGTTGGTGCAGAGGCCCCCGCAGCCCAGCCCCTGCAGCCAGCCCGGCGCTGATGCCTTCCACCCTTTCTCAGAGAGCCATCAAAGGTCTGCGGACGATATTTCTAAGGGCCTCGCTGTTCCCTTTCACCGACTGAAGCGTCCTCCCCAGCGCTTGAAAAAAGTTGCTCTGGCTTTTCATCTCCCCTCTCAGAGTGTAAACATTGTTTTGCGTGAAAGGAGCTGAAAAAGCGCTTGCTTTCCCTTGAAATTTTATTTTTAAATAAGAGAGGGAGAAAATCCTTTTTGGGACTAATACTAATAATACGGGTCAAAGTGTCAGGCGATATACAATTAAATGGAAAACAAAAAAGGTCCCCCTCTTTTTCCCACAGCACAATAGCGCTGGAATATAAATTACCGATGAAGATGAAATAATACTTCAAAGCCTCCCGGGCGGGCAGTGTGGTGTTTACAAAGTATTTTCCAGGGCACGATGAGACATTAAAGATGATGGTAGCCGAGGAACCCAGGGGGCTGCTGAATAGGCCCAAACTAGCATGAGGTAGGATTTTAGGTCCCTGTCGCCTGTGACCCCGAAATATGCTTTGTTTCACAAGGGCAGCTGCAGTTATCAACAGATGTTTCAGCAGTAAATAATTGGTATCATCTCGGAAAAGACCCATCTACCTGGGGCGAGGGCATAATACCCAAAACACTGCCCGGCTATTACAGCCACATTAATCTCCCATCTCCCGGCTTCCTCGGGGAGCGTCCTGCAGGTGTTTTTTCTGGGAGAGCGCGGACAAACTCTCTCAAGTCAGCCAGCTTTGTGTGGAGTGTAAAGGAGGTTGGCCCTGCCATAAATTTCTGTCTGTGGCCACACTGCAGAGGAGAAAGGACTGGGTGGAGGGGGAGCGCCGGCCAAGTGCGAGCAGAAGCATTTCCCCTGCATGCAGCCTGGGAGAGGAACGCGCCAAATGCCCCAGCCTCATGGCTCAGGGGCTGCGGGAAAGACTTGATTGTTCTTAAGTGGTTTTAGTTCTGGTGTGTCATTTGTGGAATTAACTGAAAGATGCAGTATGTGTATTCTAGGCGTGGTGCTCATTTAAAAAATGGACAGGACATTTTTTATGGGAAAGATTCGCTTCAAGGTTGAAAAAAAATCACAGAAACAGTAAACAAACTGCAGGAAAGCATAAGAACTGAAAAGACAAACGCAGGGCCCTTCAACTATTGTTTTGTGGAAGAATGGACTCACAATTCATCACTTACTAAACATGACCGTCCAGTTTCAGCAAACCCTCAGAATGAAGCTGGGACAAAAACCAAAAAGTCTAGAATCTGGTCAGGGTGCGTTTAACAAGCCAAGGGTTAAAAGCAGCGGGAGTTGGGGAGAGGCTGGCCCACGGGTGCTCTAGTTCTCCGTATTTACAAAACAGAGTGGGCCACCAACTCTGCACTGGGGTGGGCACCATAGGAAAGCATCCTAGAAGCCTTAGGAGGTGAGGTTGCTTAATTTATAGCTTGCTGGGGAGGCTAAGGAAAGCGAGCTCAGAGTTCAGAAAGCTCCCAGACAAAATCAATCACCTTAGGGACGAAGGCGGCCCATGGACTGGTCCTGAGCCCGTCACCTTCCTCATTCCCAGCGCCCATTTCCACACCACGAATCTGGCTGGGGCACGAGGCTAGCAGCGGGGCAGCTACCTCCTCGCTCACGCCCACTCCCATTCCTTTCCGCGGCTGGCCTCCCGCCCTCTGCCCTGGCGCCAGCCTGGTTCTGCCCTGGCCTCTGCTCCTGGCCCTGTCCTTCGGGAGCAGCGATTCGCGCACGTCTGCGGAATCTGCCTCTGCCGGTGCAGGCCCAGCCCCAGCCATTTCACGGGATCGACCAGTGCAGGTAACCGGTCCAGGGCAGGAAAGTCTCACGGCAGGGGCCGCCGCTGCCGAGATGCGCCTTCCCCTGCACGGGTGCCCGGCCACAGTATGTACTTCGCAACGAACCAAAACCCAAGGAACTCGGTTCTTCTCACGAGCACCAAGGCTAAGCTCTGCCGGCCCTGAGGGCGCTCGGCAACAGCAGAGGAAGCTGAGTCACGGGACCCCGTCCTGCGTCTGCTCCCCATCCTGCGTCTGCTGGCCTTCTGCACCTTCATCTCACTGTGAAAGGGCGCGCTTGTCCCTGGGTGCTGTTTGGATAGTTAAATGACATAATGCAAAAGCAAACACTTCATCAACTCAATAGTGATACGCAAATTATAGTTATTATTTCTTTCTATTTCTTTTCTTGTGTTTTGCTTTTCTCTGGGTTTTTACTGTTAGTTGTTTTTTTTTTCTTTTGAGACAGGAGCAGATTGAGGCCTTGAGCTCACAACCCTCCTGCCTTAGCCTCCCAAGTGCTGGGTTAAAGCAGGCACCACCACACTCTATTTCTGCACTAATACCAGCCCAGGCCTCTGGCTCAGCATTGCTTCTTCCCAAGTATTTACTCCCTTTGGCCTGTAATTCCCAGTCCTCTTTTGTTTATTTTTTAGGGGATGAGAGAGATGGAGGTTTCACTGTTGCTATCAAGTCCCTAAGCTACTGTTGTGTGCCTAGAGACTAAGGGGTCTTTCCAAGCTTTGCTTCAACAGGCAAAGACAGAAGTCCATTTAACACATTAAAGCAAACATTTTAGGGTGCTGTCATTGTGTTCATGCCTCAGCTCCTGACAAACACATTTTTACATAAGAAAAATACACATAAGCCCAGTAGGCTTCCTTGGCAATGCTGAGCGAAGCGATGCTGCCACACCTCATGGTACTCCTGGCGACATCCCCTGAACTGGAGCCCCCATCCCAGCCTGCTTCCTCTGCTGAATTTTCCAGGCTGTCTCCTGCCCAGGGTGAGGCGCCCGTTAACTTAACCTCTGCTAAATGAGGAATGGGGCGGCCAGAGGCTTGGACTTGATGCTTCCCGAACAGCCTAACCACAAGGCATTGAGGGGCAGGATCCCGTGGCACCCAGGGAGGGGCAGACCCCACTTCAGGTTTGGACAACAAGCCGCACTGGTAAGCGTAGCGAACTGATTCCTTTAAGATACCCAACTTTCAGAAAGTGCCATTTCAAAACACGAATGCTACCAGGCCTGGTGGAGTCAAAGTGACTTCTTTGGCCCCCAGAGGGTACGTCAGGGTTCCAGGGAGATAGGCTCACGCTGGGCCCACCACGCACCCCTCTGTGGCTTCCCCGGGCCTGGCCTCCCAACACCAGACCAGACAGCCAGCGATCTCCCCCATTAGTCAGTGTGGCGGTGCTGCCCTTGCCGGGATGGGCCGCCCCGGGCTTCAGAGAAATTTAATCTAGGAGACCACTTAGGGGCTAAGCGCCTCCCTCGGGATGTCAGGGGACAAGGGGGCTCTTCCTACCAGCAGCTGCAGCAGCTCGGCGCCAATCATGTCCTGCAGGTTTGTTTTGTCCTCTGGACGCAGGGCTTGTTTGTACTGCCACTTTTCAGGCACGAAGGGCCACTTCATTTCCTTTGCCTCCTGGATCAGGGTCCTTACCTCTCTAGAGAGTAAAGCTGAAAAGGTCAGAGTTCAGGTAAGGAAATTGCAGTGGAAGAAAAGGCCGCTGAGCCCCCACATTATGACGAAGACCTCCACGCAAAAACACTTGTCCTCACCTCGGGCTGGCTGCCCTGAGCCGTTGGCTGTGACCCAGAGAATAATAGCAAGGGGCTATCTGTCAGGGGCGGCCCTGGTCTGCTCTGCCCTACAGGTAAATCGGGGTAGTCAGGCATTGAGAAAGGTTTTTAGCAGGAAGGAAGGCACTTCGGTGACTATCCCTGCATGAGGAATCAGAGACGGGAATAGGGGAAATATTATTTTCCCTGTAAAACGAGAACGGACCAGGGAGGAATGGCATGCTGGGCTGGTGGCAGCTGTCTTGTGTGGAGAGTCAGCTTGCTCAGCCTAGTTCTGCTTTTCTGGGAGTCCTCATCTCCTCCCTGTGGACGGCATCTGAATAGAGACAACCAGTCACAGAAACACAAGGAAGCTGTGCAAGGGTGCTTAGTTGTGAAGTGACCCTGTTGCACAACTGTGACTGTGTTAAATTGCTCGACGGGCACCAAACCTACTTAGACCAGTTCCATACCAAACTTCAGAAACCCCAAAGCTGTGGACACTGGAAGGTTTTTTCTTACATTTAACACCCAAACCAGACTTGAATTGACTAGGGCCATTATAGTCCTGATGACATTTCTTAGTGAGATTGTTAAAAAGTTTGCAAAAAAAAAATGTTAAGGTTCACTTTTGATGCTGCCCAACCTTCTGAGTGTGACACACAGTCCATGCAGCATGACACCTCCCAACACAGGAAAAGTCTGAGTGCTGAGGGACGTCGGATCCCTAGGTTCTGAATAAGGGACTGCAGACCTGCAGACATGATCACCAGCTACGAATTTCGGCGTTTGCCCGTGACTAAACTTGTCAGCTCTTTTCTAGATCTACTTCCCTTCTCTCTTGCGTATCTTGATGAATGGAAGCAAAATTCACTGCATCAGGGCCTGGAATTTAGCTCAGTGGTTCTGACGCCTGCCCCACAAGCCCAAGGACCTGAGTTTGATCCCCGGTACCAAAAAAAGAAAAAAAATTCACTGCATCATCTGGATCTGAAACCCCAGGGCCAGTCTAGATATTTTTTCTCTTTCTTCCTCTCTCTCTCCTCTTGAATATAACTGATTATCAAATCCTGTGGTTCCTGAAATTCATTTCCTCCTCTACATTTCCAGTATGTTTTTCTGAATTACTGCTTCTAGTCTCAGTCCATCTACCCCATCTTCCATATTGCTGATCTTCTTTCCCTGAAAACAAGATGGATCTGTCCATTGCCCTGCATGAAACTCCTCCATTCTTCAGTTTTGCACATCCTGTTCTGATTGGTTGTACTGCCCTTACCCAAAACCCTAGTGACCAAATTCAGACCCACCACCAGCAGCGTCTGGCCCAAATGCTGCCACTTCTTTTCAGCCTGCCACGGCCTCTCAGGAGCAAATTCCTCTCAGGCTCGGCACCTCTGGTGTAGCTAGATGTCTGTCTCACTGGTTGGAAGTGGCCTGAAGTTCCACATCTCATGATGGATGGAAGACATGATCAGTCTTAATGTCCATGTGAGAAATGCTAAATAGAGCAAAAAAGATATGGCAGAGAGAACCAAAAATAAGAGAAAAGAAGGAAGAAAGATCTAACTCTGTCTTGGTCCTCCATGACTTTCTGTGAACTTGGCTTCAAGATAAGGCTGTTTCTCTTGGGCACTGAAGGGATATCTCATGGGCCATGCCGACGAGTCACGCATGGTGATTACTAGGGATGATTTACAGCAGCACACTGAGATCGTCATCCCAATGCAGCAGCTGAGAACTTCTGCAGCAGCATCCTCCAAAGAGAGCAGAGCTCAGGGTTAGGGACTAGTGTGGTCACATTCCGCTGGAACACTCGGCTGTTTTACTCCACTGACGGTGTCACCTTCTCAGGGTGTATCCAGGATTTGTGCAGAGAAAATTACGTCCAGCATTTCTGAAGAGCTAAGAGCAGGACGCCATTTGCAGGGCGGTCCCATGAGATCCAGTGCACTTGGCACAGCGCCCCCTTTCGCCCTCCAAAGAGTCTCCCTTTGGTAAATTATTCAAACTCTGTCATGCACGAATATGAGCAATCACAGGACAACAGAAAAGCGACTTCCAGGTTTCCAGAATTGCATTGTACTTGGGGTGGAGTGTTCTGATTTTCTCACGTTTCTTTACGATAATGGAGAATGCTGCTGCTTCCCAACTCACTTTTGCCTCTTGCACACCACCTACAAGGTCCCACTGGACCATGGCCAGTCCCACAGTGCACACTGAAAGAAAAGATGCCTCCACCGCAGGCTGTCCAGACGGAGCTCTGTCTGTCTGTCTGTCTGTCTCCAGCTCTGGATGTTGCGGGGTCACCCGTGCTGACTTTGGAGGGAGAAGGACAGGGCTGAGAGGCGCAGGAGGAGGAGAGGAGTAAAACAGCATTTGCCCCAAGTCTGCAGGCTCACCCTGCCCACTAGTGACCCTGTGCCAAGGCCTTTCTCTTGGGGCCAGGGACCCTCAGAAGCCCCCTGTGCTCGAGCACCCACAGTTCCTGCTCTGCAGAGGATTCCACTCCCTTTGCTTTACAGGATCGAGCCCGGACTCAGCCATAGCCCCTCTCCCTCTTGGATCCCTTACTTCCCCACGCAGCTGACCTGAAGGGCTGTGGCCAACTCAGGTATTTTACAGTCTCGATTTGTCTTATCTGGGACTAAACCGATCCTCTCTCCTATTCTGTGGTACTTGGGAAGAAAAAGAGGAAAATGCTACCTGATCGGGGTGCAGTCTTCTCCAGCAAAATCACAAAGCTTAAAGGAATTTGGGCTGCGAGACCGGCTGTGATGTCACAAGAGAAAACTCGAGTGGGAACACCCCGGGGCAGCACAGTTCCGGGGGAAGCAGGGGCAGCAGCAGAGCTCATGGGGCAGTGGCCGTGTCCCTGTGCTCCCACATGGGGCTGACATCGCCAGCACCCAAGACCTGGGGCCACACGCACGTGGGGCTGGCGAGCCACACCCTGCCCAGGGGTCCTGGCAGGAGGGAAAGGAAGCTTGCAGACGGAAGCGGTGAACTGACTGGATGTGGGTGATTTCATGAGAGGAGCAAAAATGAAAAGGTTACAGATAATCAAGACTTCCACCAACACCTAAGTGTCTGAAAGTGTGTGTGCCTATGTACAGAAGGAGGGCAGAAGACCCCCCAGAACCTTCCTGGGGAGTAATGAACAGAAGAGATGAGAAATAGGAGATTTATGGGGAGCTCTTACTTTGTATCAAATGACAGCACTGCAAAGATGAAGAGAAATGAAAATGTGTAAAGGAAACATACTTAGAGAAACAGAGGGAAAATCCGTTTCAGAGATGGAGTGTTGCCTCTCCAAAGCCAGTTAAAGGAGAAATAAGAACTGTTTCTAACTTTCCACATTTTGTGATTGAAACATCCCATCCATGACTGGTCTACATCCACACACGGCACAAACTATGAAAGGGGCAGAGCCACCCCTAGGCGCTGGTCAGCGCGTGGTGAGGACTTGGGGACGCGTGGATCTCTCTCAGGGAATGGCACGAGGCCTCTGGGCAGTGCAGAAGAGAGTGACCGCGCCGGCGAGATGACACAGCTATGGAAAGCGTAAGCGTCTGTGGAAATTGATGAAGCCCAAAACCCCTGCTCGGAAAAAGTCTGCGCCACCGTGGAGAAGCTGCTGCCATTTTTAATAATTGAAATTTATGTCACCGGCCAACTCAGACCTTTGTTCCTGTTGGACTAAACTGTTTCTTGTAGCCTCATGTTTACTGAAGCCTGAAATTGGAACTGACAGCAATTCACTGCAACAAAGTGAGGGTCCACCCCGGCCCGTCTGCCCACAGCCCAGGTCCCATTCATGCCCCAGAAATCTCCCCGTCTCTCGGTGGTCATCTGCCAGGAGAAGAAGAATAGGGCAGAGAAGAGAACGTGTGGCCCAGGCAGGGACAGAGGCGTGGGCTGCAGGCTGACCCTGCTGCGAGCATCCCATCCTCACCGCGGCATCGCTCGTCCTCCCTCATGTCCTCCTCAGACACATCTGGCGCGGTCACCAAGAGCTGATCCAGCGCTCGCTCGCACTCTTGCAGGAGCACAGCGACAGCTTTCTGATTATTCATGACGACTACCCTCCCTCGACGGTGAATCGAGGGTCCCTGGGTCTGTGGTGATCAATTACCCATGAGGAGACGTCGATCCTCAAGAAAGGAGCCCCTCGAAGGCCAAGCTACCTGGTGAACAAAAGAGGGAGGAAGATGATTAACTGAAGCATCATCAATTATCTGTAAGACTCAAGCAGGGAGGGATAATAGGGGACACATGAAAACACATCACAGCCTGAGGACATTATTAGGCAGGGTGTGAAGTGAGTCCAGGGCCTGGTTTCGATGGGCAGGACCTTGCAGGCATCGTGTGCAGAAGGGTTGGCCCCAGCACAGGCCCTGTCACCCACAGTGAGCTGGGGAGCCACGCGGCGCCAAATGAAGTGAATCTGCCCATGATTTATGCACTTCCTGCATCCTTCTCCTCAGCGCCTCCAGATCCCAGCAGCCCCGCACTTTCTGCCTTTCTGGAAGTTTACAGCAAGCATCTGGCCAACAGTGCTAATGTTCACATACAGGCGTGTGGTGATGTGAAGTGTACCACCCACTCCCATAACCCGCTGCTGATCCCCTCATGCAGAATTCTTCCTGATGTTTTGCATGGTATAATTTGGGCCCAGAAAGGCAATGACAGATGCCAAATTTAGCCCTTGCTGTCAGGCACATTGCCAAGAAAAATGAGAAATACTATTGCAGAAAGCCCAATTTCCTAGATCTATCATACAGATGGATGGATCTGCTTATGCTATTTAACATGTGAACAATTGATAGATTTTCTTTCTTTCTTGCCTTTCTTCCTTCATTTTCTTTCTGGTATTGGGGATGAACCCAGAGCCTTAACACTGAGCTATATTCCAGCTCTTTTAAAATTTTTTATTTTGAGATAGGTTCTCATTAAGTTTCGAATTTATAATCCTTCTGTCTCTGCCTTCCAGAGAGCTGGGATTACAGGTGTGCACCTCCATGCCTAGCTGAGAGATTTATGTAAATATGAATCCTGTACAAATTGGGTTGTTGGGATAACTGGTTTCCAACGTCCCTTTTTACTCAAGTGTGCATAAGAGTGTTTCATGTTGCAAGCTGGCCACTAGCCTGACTAGCTATGGAAAGAACTAAGCAGCAAGGGCTGGTCAACTTTCATGTTCATCTTGCTGTTGCAAAGACTACAGGAGAACATGCCCATCCCTCTGAACATGAGCGAGCTAAGAAGAGGGCTAAGCAGTGTGTGAGGATGGGCCAGAGGCCAGGGAACTATGCTACTCTCACCATTCCTTGAGAGAGGGGAGAGATTGGCTAAAGCAGAAGGTTAATACATAGGTCAAGAGATGCATCTGGTGATTGAGGAGGTAAACATCAGCTTTGCTTGATGTGAGCTACTAGCAAGTTGGGAGCTCATTTTTCTTCAAGTCTTAAAGCAAAGAGAGAACTCTCTTTCTTGAGACCCTTTTCAAATGACTTCATCCAGAAAGAGGGGTAAAACAAGGAAATAACAAAGAGCTGCTCATGCACAAAGACACAAAACTGCATTATGATTTCACTTTAATAGCACATCATCCCTTTGTCTAAAGGCTTATAGTAATGTTTTACTGGTGCTACCTTAAGGTAGAAAGTAGCTTTTTGTTGAATTTATAGAAGTGAGGAGCAGAAGACCTGAGGCTGAACAGTGGAGGGGTGAAGGAGATTCTGGGCAGAGGATACAAATTTCCTTTAGATAGGATGAGTAAGTTCAAGAGATCTGTTTACAGCATGGTGACGACAGGTCATGACAGCATATTGTGCACTTGAAAATTGCCAGAAGTGGATATTTAGTGCTCCCACCATGAAAATAAGTATATGAGGTATTACTTACACCAACTAATTTGATATAGCCATTCTACAACACATATCTGTATCAAAACACCAACTTGCGCAACATAAATATATGATTATAATTTGTGAATAAAAAATAAAATCAGGGCCAGGGATTTAGCTCAGTGGTGCTGCCGCCTGCCTCACAAGCACAAGGTCCTGAGTTTGATCCTTGGTACCAAAAAAAAAGTCAGACAAAAAAGTAATCTTCCTTACGCCAACAGATTAAGTTTTAACTGCTCTGTTTCTGTAAAGGATTTAAGAAGCGATAGTACATGGTAACAAAAAGACTTAGAAACAAGAAGTAAATGCACATAGTAGTGTGCAACAGAGATCTTTTGACAAATTCCACTTCCTGTTCTATAGCAACTGTGAGCACCCTGAAAGTCAATTCTGAGATTCACTTTTCTTACCTGTGTTTCTCGGGTTGGGAGGAGTAGTCGAGCAGTTGTTAAGATGCTCTGTCTCTTAAGTTACACACTCACTCTCGGCCTAGGTAGATTAGGTTATATTTGCTGAAGAATTTCTGATATTCAAAATCCCAGCTCTTTTGAGAACTCTTAAGAATAAAATCTGTATGTATATTTTTCTCTGGTTTAAAAATATTGACTTGCATTTTAAGAAGTTGATTATTAAACAAAAATACTTTTCTGCTCTGTTTTCTCACATAAACCCTTATTTCTGATGCACAGATCAGAAATCCCTTTCTTTTGTCCAGGTGCTGTGCAAGAGTAACACAGCACAAGGTCCTTGGCGGGCAAACAACAGGACTTGACTCTGATTTTTGCGTAAAGCTGGGGCAGGTCAAGGGAGGCTCCCTGAGGGCGTGATGCCAGGCTAAGCTCTGAAAGAGGAAGTGCACTTGAAGAGGAAATCTAGGGCAAAAGGAAGAGGGCAGGCTGGCCACACTAGCAATTCGAGGAGACAGTGGACAGCAGGTGAGGCTGGAAGGTAAGCAAGGGGCCAGGCAGGGCTGTGGGTGTAAGGAAGGGGTCTGTCTTGGCCCTAAAGTGATAGGCAACTACTAGTAGCAGAAGGACCATGGCAGGTTTGCACTGGGAAGAGCACTGTGCTGCAGATGAATTGCAGAGCTAACTGCAGCTAGATCAGTTGGGTAATGATAGCAATGACTGAGGCGAGGGCTGGACCGGCATGATGGCATCAGCAATGCAGAAAACTAGACAGATTCGAGAGCTGTTTAGGAAGCAAAGGCAGCGCTGGTGTTGGGCAGATGTAAGAAGTGTTAAGAATGAGTCCCAGGTTTCTGCCCCAACAAAGCTCGAAACTGAATGGGGGGTGTTACCACCAGACATAGACAATGGACACACGGGAGGTCTTCTAGTAAAAGACAAATACATCCACTCATCTCCTGTTTTGTATTTCTAGCTATAAGACAGTAAGGAAGATAAGTCATATTATCTACAGAAAGCAATCGTATTTTAACCAAGAAATCATGTCTAAAAAAGGAAGGTGAGATTTCCAAGGTAACTTATGTTTAGTACTTGTGACTTCTCAAAATGTAGGGAAGATCCTTTTGATACATTTTGAAACTTATAGCATTTTTCCTTTTTGCTGTAGAATTCAAAGGAGACAATAGGAAGAAAATACTGTAACATGAGAAACACTTCGGAATCCAACCATCTGTCCAGCCCTCCCTGGTTCATTGTTAGGCACAGGCTGGAGCCCAGGAAACTTCCCTCCCGGCAACAGTCCTGCTGGAAATTCTGATCAAATTCATTTATGAAAGAGTCATTTTCAATTTCAATGTTTGCTCCCCTGAACTAGCATTCTGCGAGCAAGTCACTGTTTCTGACATTGAATAAATAAAATCGACAAAAAAGTAATCTTCCTTATGCTGACAGATTAAATTTTACCTGCTCTGTTTCTATAAAGGATTTCAGAAGTGATAGTACCCGGTAACAAAAAGCCTAGAAGCTAATAATGCACATAATAGTGTGCAACAGAGATCTCTTGCCGAATTGCACTTCCTGTTTTTTAGTTAACTGTCTGTTACCCCCAGGAGTCCATTCTGAGACTCACTCTTCTTATCCGTGTTTCTCGGGTGGGGAGGAGTAATTACAGCAATTGTTAAGATGCTTCTGTCTCTTTAAGTATTTTTGTAAACTATGCTGTATTTTTTTCTATTTTAACATCTCATATTGTTTTCGTAAAAGTCAAATAGAAAGGGATTAAGGAAAGCAATGAAACTTAGACCTGGTGGCACATAACTGTAATCCCAGCCCTTTGGAAGCTTAAGGCAAGAGGATCACAAGGTTAATTTCAACCCAGGCAACTAAGCAAGACTGTGTTTCAAAATAAAATATAGCAAAAGGGCTCAGAATGTAGCTCAATAGCACCAAAAAATGCAAATAACTCTAAAATGACATTAGATACCCCAGATTAGAACCATATACTCAAAGGACACATGGATATGCATAGCAAACAGTCATGTGTTCACATACTCTGTGTTTGATTTTGACACAATAATTTTTCAGTTCCATTGGTGAGCTAGAATTTAGTTGAGTGGCAAAGTTACAGTTGACAAATCAGCCATCATTAAGGAGAAGCGAATCAATAGATTTTTTCAAACCCCCATTTCTTTGGGCATCTGTGTTTAGTCTTTTTCCCTGGACAATGAGCATCTCCACGAGGGAGTGGGTCAGGGAAAAGAAAAGGACCTGAAAGGGGTATTTATTTGATTATGAAATTTTGCTTTATTTTCATAAAATAAATAAAAAAGAGGAATCCTGTCATTTGTAATCACACAGATAAACTTAAAGAACATTATGCTGAGTGAAATAAGCCAGATACAGAAAGACACATACCACATGATCTCGCTTATGTGTGGAATCTCAAAAGTTGAACCCCCACTATATCCCTGAAAATGTATAAATCAGATTCAGAGGCAAAAATATTTTAGAATCATACAGTTTATTCACAAAGAAATAGGAACAACTGTCTCTAAAAATGTTTTTTTTTTCCTTTAGTCTTTGGTGGGCTAAGATTCAAAATGATGTCAATAGCATGCTCCACTATGAAGTTGTTTTTGTAAAGCACATTTGTTTATGACACACCTACATTCTCCATGAATATGGCATTTAGTATTTCTTTTAAAACAAACATAAGCATCATGAGCCAAAGTTGGGTTTTGACGCCCAACTATGGTAGCGTTGTGGAAATCTCACAGTCAAAGTCAAGGGATTCTGTTATGTTTTAGTAAAGTATAGATTATTGGGGCCTACCTAATTTAAAGAAATGTAAATTAATATTAAAAGCTTGTGAAAATATGCACATCTTTACTATTTCTCAATAAATACCTTTGCAAATGTTAAAAAAAAAAAAGTTGAACCCCTAGGAGCACAGAGGGTAGCAGATCCCCAGGGGCTGGTGGGGGAAGGGTTGGAGTGTTGGTCAAAGGCTGCAGAATTTCAGTTAGACTGGAGGAATGAGCTCATGCTATACAGCATGATCACTATAGTTAATAACAGTGCTTGAAAAATTCTAAACAGATTTATATGTGTTCTCAAATATAAGGTAGTATATGTTCATTAGCTCGATCAAGCTATGCCACCATATTTACATTCTTCAATCAGCATATTGAACACTAGAAATACATGCAAATTTTGTCAGTTTAAGAAATAAACTGAAAAATAGAAGACAATACACATACATAAACAATCAGCATATAAATCATGAAGAGAGTGACTGAAATTAAAGTGATTTAAAACCTTTAAATTGTCCAACTGGAGGAGAGATATTAATTTGAACTGTCATAAGATTTCTGTGATAATCCTTTAAAAAATGAGATTAAAACACGTAACTTTGACTAGTAGAAGGAAAAACTAAAAGAAAGAAAATGTTTCCAAAGGGGGCAATATGAAAATGAAAAAATAACAAGGAAGAGTCAGGATAAATGTAAAGGCCAAAGCAAGATGGTAGAAATAACTCCGAATGTATCAGTATTTCCAATAAACATAAATGAACTACTGGTAACTGTCACAAGTAAAAGATGGAGATGCATTGCACTAAAAATAGCTGCACAGAATTTGCTGAAGCATAAGATAATGGTCTGAAAGTATTATGTCTGTGAAAAAAAGAATACAGAAAAATATAGAAAGATAGGAAAGATACATTTGAAAAATAACTGAAAGAAAGCCAGTGTACATCTCCAGGCTTGGTGGCACACACCTGCAATCCAGCTACTAGGGGCCAAGATAGGAGAATTTGAAGTTCAAGGCTAGCCAGGGCAACTTGGGGGGCCCTGTCAAAAAAATAAAGAAGAAAGGCCCGGAGACGTAGCTCATTCCTTCCTGGGTTCAACCCTGTATGCCTCAAAAGCAAGGAAGAGGAAGAGAAGGAAAGGGAGGCCAGAAGGGAAGGGGAAGAGAACACCAGGGTAGCTACATTAATATCAGACAAGTAGGCATTAAGGCAAAACGTATTGCTAGAAAAGATCACTTCCTTATGCCACATGGCTCCATTCACCAGGAAGGCACAACAACTCTTACCTTGTGTGCAGCCAGCAGTACAACTTCACTGCACATGAAGCAGAAATGGAAGGAGCCGGGGTAAGCAGGGCATCTCACTTTTCAGCATGGACAAAGACAACCAAAAGACCCAAACAACTGGAAATAGCCAAGTGTGGTGGCACAAGCCACTGTCCTGCTACCCCAGCTCCTCTGGTGGCTGGGGTGGAAGGTGCTGCTGAGCCCACGAGCGTGGGCAGTCTGGGCAACACAGTGACCCCCACAAAGAACAGACACAAAGCCAGAAAGAAAATGTGGTAATGTATAATCACAGTGGGAGAACAATGACACATTCTCTTCGAAATTAATACACAAAGCAAACAAAAAATTCAGTAAGGACTCGATGGATCAACCAAGTAACAAACTTGATCTCATACAGATTTCTAAAACAACACTCTCAACAACTGAAGAATATACATTATTTTCAAGTGGACCGGGAATATTTAAACAGTCTAATATCTTCTGTACTATAAAGTAAAATCTCAACATTTCAGAGGATTAGTATCATATAGAGTGCACTGCATGACTAAAAGCAATGAAGTTGGTAATAAATAAAAAGTGACTAGAATAAAACCCCATGTACATGGGAAGTTAGAAACATACTTCTCAAAAAAACACCCCCAAAAACAAAAAAACAAAATAAAGAAGTAAAGGGTAATGGAACATTAAGTTAAACTCATGTAATAGAAGTAAGGAAATGAATAGAAAAATAAACTAAAAGGAAGTAGAAGAAAATAAATAAAGAGCAAAAATTGATGAAATAAAAGAACAAACATTCAACAGGAAGATCAACAAAATAAAATGTTCACTTTCAAAAGAGCAAACAAAATAAACTTCTGGCAAATTGATTGAGAGACAGAGAACAAATAAATAGAAATAGGTATGAAAATTTGACGAAGGGCTGGGGATTTAGCTCAGTGGTTTTGCTGCCTGCTGTGCAAGTGCAAGGACCCGAGTTCAATCCCTGGTACCAAAAAAAAAAAAAAAAAAGAAAATTCGACGAGAGCACTTCCAATAAAATATTGGAAGCACTGTATATTGATAAATTTAAAAACAAAAAAAGAGTAATTTCTATAAAACATAAAAAGATCAAGAAGAAATAGAAAACTGTACTATTCTATAATGTTAAAGAAATTTAAACAATAGTTTAAAATCTTTCTTATAAAGAAAACACTGGGAACATACAATTTTTGCAATAAATTTTTACCAATCAATCAACAAACCAAAAATCAAATCGTTGGCAATATGTTAAGGAATAAATAATTAGAAATGTAATTTAATAAGCATGAACAACAATGGTGTAAAATATGTATAATATTTTAGGTATAACAAAGGTATTAAAGGTATAATAAAAGTCACATGTATATGAAGAACTTAAGAATAATTAATTTTTATAATAAATGTGCAAGACATTTAGAGGGATAGTGGACATTAAAGTTAACCTAAATACAAGAAGAGACATCCTATGTTTGTGATGTGGAAAACTTATGATATTATTAAGATAAAAAATTTTCCCTAAAATAATTATAACTTTAATACAACCCTAATCAAAATCTTAACAGCTGTGTCTATGTGTCTTTGTGTGTAACCACCTAACATGCTGATTCTAAAATCTATATGGAAGAGTGAAAATCAAGAATAATCAAAACACTCTGGAGAAAAAAATGTCAAGGGAGAAAAGGAGAGTACTATTCCAAATGTCAATAATTAATATAACATTTTATAAAATTATATGAAAGCTATTGGTGCTGAGACAAATCAACCTTATAAATAAGATACGGAGTCCAACAAGAGACACCTAGATGTGGGCGATTGGTTTATCACAGAGCTCTGTATACAGTATTGAGATAATTGGCCTGTTTTTAAAAATCAATATGAAAATTACATGTAAAAAATGAAACTACACAATCTCTAAAAGACATAACTAAGAGCATGTTCTGTAGCTTCTCAGCCTTTTGTTTAAGATCAAATGTAAAAGAGAATGCTCTTATCAACTTTAGAGAAAATTTTAAACATTGGCAAAAAAGATGGCTACTCATAAAAGATTGTATATTTAATCAATTAAAAAAACAAACTTCTGATTTGTAAAACACCATAAAGCAAGTGAAAAGACAAATCTTAAAATGGAAGAAAGTATTTGTAACTTTGGTAAGTGACAGAAAACTTTCCATCCAGATTATATAAAGAATTCCTATAAATCAATGAGAGAAAACACAATAGAAAAAGAATGGGCAAAAGACTTGAACAGAAATGTCACACAAGAGGAAACAGGAATTGCCAGTAAACATATGAAAAGTGTCTACCTCAGT